TAAATACTATAGGACAAACAGTAAAAGCCACCTGACTCCCTAAAACAGATTCTGGGACATGTTTTCATTGCCTGGATTTCGTAATTTAGGCCCTTGGCTTCCAGCCCTATTACAAGGACTAAGAGTTATTTTGATTCTGATCATTTGCCTATGTTACAACTGGCTGATGTAGCCCGTGCGGCATCTTAAGTGCTACTGCACGGCCATTGCCACATCGGATGGTCCAATAACTCATCATACAACAGAAGAAGAAAAGATGAATTCTGGTTCAATTCCAGACTACGTTCTTGATCAAGAAATTGATCTTAATCAGCAAGACCTTGGCGAGGATGGATATCTGGGTATAATGCATTAACGTCTTGAGATCTAACTTTGTCCTTGACCAAAAAGGAGACTTGAGAAAGAACAGCCCCTGACAGCCAGAACTATTCTGCTGTCCATGTGTTATGATAAGCTGGTCTGATGCTCACAGGCTGTTCTGTTCTCCTGTCCTCCAGTTCTCTTCTCCCAGAACATCATCGTCAGACATGGTTACTCTGCAACCATGATAAAATGAAACAAAACAAGGCCACTTCATAATTTTGTCTAAGCACAGATAAAATCAAGGACCCTGTGCTACCCACCAAATACCTAGTCATAGAATTGCCCCCACTTTCTGACAGCATCCCACCTAGAGCTAACCCCAACTACCTTAGATCTTCTCCCAAATCATCCAACGAAAGCCCAAATCCCACAATCAGTAATTCTAACACCCTCTTATTGAGCCTCATGGTTCCCCACTGCAATGAGTAATAAATCCAACTTGTCTAACTACAGGTGTTTTCCCTGTGCTCTTTCACTGAAGGGTATTGACAACATATACTAATCATATATCTAAAAAACAAAAAGCAATAAAAGCTATATGTATTTCTTCATTTTTGAAGAGCAAAAATCCTTGAAAACACAACCAGGTCAAGAAATAGAACCTCATCAACCATGCGAGAAGCCCTCCACATGTCCGATTTCAATTATAACTCACTCCTTTCCCCCAAAATTAGCCACTCTCCAAGCTCTTATAGCAATCATTTCCCTGCTCTTTGTAGTTTTATCACCAAGCGTGTATCCCTAGACGCTATAGTTCAGAGTTGTTCATCTCTTAAAATTTGACATGTCTTTTAAGTCTCTGTTCATCTACAGGTTTCCCCTCCATCCCTTTCTTTCCCTTGCAGTCGTTCTGTGGAGGAAGGCCCAGAGACCTACAGAGTCTCCCAACGTCTGAATCTGACTGACTGCACACTCACTTTGCAGTTCAACGTGTCCCTTCATCCTCTGCATTTATTGCAAATTGGCAGCTAGATCCAGAGGCTTGGTCAGACTCTGGTTCAACCCCTTTGACAACTTTACAGATGCTGTCATGTTCTTTCTTTGGTGGTCGCATAATGTGTGGTTTCCTCTCTTTTTCTGATGTTTTGTTGGACACAATGCCCAGATCCATTAATTTATTGGTGGCTGCCAAATAGTAACAATCTAATTCTATTATTTCTTTTTCTTTCATTAGTTGGAATACTTTTATTACGAGATTCTTATTCTAATCTACTATTTGGTAATTCAAAGGTATAGTTCATATAGGAAAGGTAGGAGACATACTTGATTCTTGACCTTGGATTTTCACTTTTGGAGTTAGTAGGCTGGTTCCTCTGAAGAACCAGCTCTCTTTTAAAAAAGAAGTATGGACTCATGGATTCAAACATATTTGATGGATTTTAATCCATGGCAATTATCATTATTGTTATAATTTGCGACAGAGTCACTGCGCCCAGCCTATCATTATTGTTGACACTTAAATTGTCCTGTCTCCAAGAGTTGGAGCCTCTTCAAATTGGCTCCAGAAAGACTTGATCAAGCTCTGGTAGTCTTTGTAGCATCCTTTCTATCTGGGATGACCAAGCGCTCCAGGCTTGTCTTTTACATTCCTTGTTCCAGATTTGTAAACAGCTGCTTCTCCAAGAAGCAGCCCTGGATCGTAATCTGTGATAAGGGATGCTTATTGCTGTGAGCTGGTCATCGTGTCCAGCACTTGAAAGAGAGAAAGAGAGAGAGAGAGAAAGAAAAAGAAAGAAAGAAAAAAGAAAGAGAAAGAAAGAAGGAAAGAAAGAAAGAAAAGAAAGGTTGATTAGATACATAGATGATAGGTACAGATATGGCACCTGTTTTTTTAAACTTAACCATTTCTAAATGACGTCTGTATCTCCTTTTTTCCGTACCAGAAGTCCTGGCTCTCAAGGATAAAGGGGATGATGAATTAGAATATCCTCATTTTTTTTTCTTTGAGACAGAGCGAGACTAGAGTGCAGTGGTGTCATCATAGCTCATGGAAACCTCAAACTCCTGGGCTCAAGCCGTCGTCCTGCCTCAGCCTCCTGAGTAGCTGGGACTACAGGCACGCACCACGATGCCTGGATAATTTTTCTGTTTTTTGTAGAGATGGGGGTCTCTCTCTTGCTCGGGCTGGTCTCGAACTCCTGACCTCAAAGCGATCCTCCCACCTCGGCCTCCTAGAGTGCTAGGATTACAGGCGTGAGCCACCATGTCTGGCCAATCTTCGTTATTAATTACTCATTTATTTTATCTCACATTACACTATAGTCTCAAAATAGCCATACTAATATTACCAATTCCAAAGTGATTACCGAGACAGTTACATAAATTGTTTTGCATATGCTGTCTCCATTCCTCCCTCGCTTTTTTTTTTAGAACAAAGATTGGCAAACATTTTGTCTACCATTTTAACCATTTTAAACTGCATGATTCATTGGGTTTCAGTATTTTCACAAAGTTGTACAACCATCACCACTACCTAGTTCTAGAATGTTTCCATCACCCCTGGAATAAACCCTATACTTTCCCATTTGCCTTGGCCCCTATTCCCTGGCAACTACTGATCTGCTTTCTGCCTCTGGAAACTTGCCCCTTCTGGGCATTTCACATGAGTGGACTCCTACAATACAAGGCCTTTTGCGTCTGGCTTCTTCCACTTTGCATGTTTTCAAGGCTTCTCTATGTTATAGCATGTAATACGAGTTGTCTTTTTAAGTAGAAAATAAACCAATATGAGAACGATTCGGCACCAAATTTCTCATCCTCTCGCACAAAGCAAGTTTCTCCAGCTGACTGCAGCTTGCTTGTTCCTTGCAGTGGCCTGAACCTCTTGGAGAGTGAGAGCCGTCTAACCCCGCCGGCAAGTACAGCGCACGCGTGGCCACTGCTGGCCGCCACACAACGCTTCAGGAAGAAAGCTGGGCTGGTGTGGGGTAAGGGGGTTCACACCCCAAGATGCGTCTCCCCTCAGCCCGTTAGAGCAGCTCCTGGCTGTGTGGGTCCATCTTGGCACCATCACCCTGCCGTCTCACATGGACAGGGGCTTTCGGCGCTGAAATTTGGGCCAGAGTCTGCTTACAAAGGCCTTGTTCTCCATCTGCAATCAGCCTTGAGTTCTATGGCTGCAGTACCTGAACCAGGGCATGAAGAGTGAGGGGCAGATTCCAACCTCCAGTGTGAGAACCCTTCTCCCTGTAAAACTGTGACCAGAGCCTACCCCCTTGGGCTTCAGCATCTAATGCTGTGCGTCCCAGGTATGACTGTCCCTCATCCTGCATGGAAGGATTGGCTCAGATATCCCCAAGACCTGAGAACTGCTCCCAGAGCCTGCTCACCCACCCAGCCCACTCCCAGCTCTGGATCCCACCCTTCTGCACGTATCTGTCTGGTGGAGACCTGATCACAATGAATTGAATGATGTGTTTAAGTGGCAGTTCCCTCAACCAGTTTGGGAGGCTTTTGAAAGCAGGGACCGTGTTTTATTCATTTTATACCCCCAGTGCCTGGTTTCGAGAGTACTCCTCATCAATGTGTGATAAGTTAGAGAGGGAAGAAGTCAGTGAAGTGATAAGAGTCTTGTCCCCCAAACAGAATGCCTGAGAGCAATGGCTTTACCTCTTCACTGCTCCTTTCCCACAGTAAAATCCAACATAGGATGGGGCCCAGGGGGAGTGTGTAGACGACTGATATCTTCATTTAAGATCCAAAAAATCTCCACCTATAGGACTTTAGGAGAATATCTTTATTTAGCTCAGGTAGATGTTCCTCCACATTTTTGGATACTTGGGTTAGAATTTTCTCTATTGCATTAAATCAATGGTTCTTACACCCTTATATATGATAAATGCAAACATGCAAACACAATACAGGCTAGAATAAAAAGGCTGGTGTCTACAAACATTAAAAACAGACATACTCATAGAGGGTATAAAGAAGGGAAACCAGCAGAAAGTGATTGAAATACCACCCGTCCCCCGGCCCTCATCCTGGTGCCCAGATATGTGCACTCCGTCTGCTCTCTGCTCCTCTTAGACACAAGTCCTCAGACCCTCCTGGACAGGAACAAGCCTTATAAGGCCAAGAGGCAGCCCCATTTGTTCCTGCCTGCAGGGAGGGCAGAGGAAGGCGATTCCCCCTGGCACGATCCCCAGACCCATGGGGTCAGATTGCCCAGCGTTGTTCAAGCAGCGAGGCCACCTCTGTCCCGGTATCCTGGGTTGTCTTTTCTCTCCAGTCTTGGTGGCTCCCAGTTGTCAAAGACATCTTGGCATGGTGTGGTCTGTTTCTCAAACCAGTCAGCTCCCCCACAGAGACAGCCAGCTGCTGGGCCAAGGGGCTTCCAGAGAGCTCTTCAGCAGGGCGTGGTGGCTCACGCCTGTAATCCTAGCGCTCTGGGAGGCCGAGGCGGGCGGATTGTTTGAGCTCAGGAGTTCGAAACCAGCCTGAGCAAGAGCGAGACCCCGTCTCTACTAAAAATAGAAAGAAATTAATCGGACAACTAAAAATATATAGAAAAAATTAGCCGGGCATGGTGGCACATGCCTGTAGTCCCAGCTACTTGGGAGGCTGAGGCAGAAGGATTACTTGAGCCCAGGAGTTTGAGGTTGCTGTGAGCTAGGCTGACGCCACGGCACTCTAGCCAGGGCAACACAGTGAGACTCTGTCTCAAAAAAAAAAAAGAAACAAAACAGAGAGCTCTTCAGAGGTTCTCAGAGGCCTCCTTAACCTTACCAGGCCTCCTAGCTCAAGCACAACTTTGGAAGGCTCCAGCAGCTCCTGTGTGGCCTGCTGTTTTCACTGCCTTGGTCGATATGGAGAGGGACAAGTCCAGGCTAGGGGCAGGCATGATCCCTTAGGTTTGCCCACAGCTCTGAGAGCAAAAACAGCCAAGCCAGTCTCTATGAGTTTCAGGCTGAAGCTTAGACACCCCTGGGCCAGCCCCCTGGCCAGGCTGCCCAGGTAGGCCAGGTAGACAGAGTCTGGGCTTCAGAGTTCTCGGGCCCCTAAGAGCGCATCTGCACTTGGAAGTGCTCACAACGGGCATGCTTCATGGTCAGCCCATAGAGGGGGGTCATGTCCACCTTCATGCCTGGCAACACGCTGAATTCCACCTGCTGCAGCAGGATGGTCAGGAAAAGAAAGACCTCCCAGCGGCCAATGGTCTCCCCGATGCACTTCCGCTTGCCCAAGCCAAAGAGAATCATCTTCTCACTCAGCGCCTTGTTGATAATGCCATCAGGAGTGAGAAAGCGCTCGGGCCGGAACTCAGATGGGTCACCCCACAGCTTCCTGTAACCAGAGGGAGGCAGCTGAAGTGGCAGGCTGGGGACTCAGAAGCATCAGGTGGATTGAGCCCCAGCCCCAATGGATAGGGAATGGGCACAGAGCCCGCAGACAGGAGGGTCTGAACCCCATGAGAGGAGAGGCCCAGCCTTTCCCGTGCCCCTCTCAACTTACTGGTCATGGTTGACCTGCCACTGGTTCACAAAGACACAACGCCCCTTGGGGATGTAAAAGCCATTCAGACTTGTGTCTCTCGTGGTGCTGGGGAGAAAGGAAGCTCAGTCAGGCTCACATGCCACATCCCTCCTGCTGCCCTAATCAGGTGTGTGGACGGGAGTAAGGCAAGCGTCAGAAGCAGCGGATCTATAGGGCTTTACCAGTGGGGGATGGTGAAAGGGACGAAGGAGGCGTGTCGGAAGGTCTCCAGGATGAAGGCCTCCATGTAGGGCAGCCGGGGCCGGTCAGACAGCCGGGGCCGTCGCGCCCTGCCGACCACCGCGTCTGCGGAACACAGAGGACCAGATTGGTTAAGGGGCTGCCTAGACCTTGGCCAGGCTTCTGATCTTGACCCCTTTGAAGGGAGCTACCACCTACCTAGCTCCTCCTGGATCTTCCTCTGTATCCTGGGGTTCGTCACCAAGTACATTAGGCTCCAGGAGATGGCAGTTGTGACTGTGTCAAACCCTGGATGAGGTAGAACAAAGGGAGAATTTAGGCAAGTGGTGGGTCAGGGCACTTGGGTACAGGAAGGGCACAATGGGGTAACTCATACCGGCTCCGAAGATATCTGAGACAACACTGATGAACTTCTCATCCGACACCTGAATGTTGGCATTCTCATCCAGCTTCTTGTCCTGGCAGTGCTCAATCAGGCTGTCTGTGATGTCCCGGATATGGCCCTGGGTAGGGAAAGTCCACAAGTGAGCAAGATGCCAAACTCAGACCTACCTCTCCATCTGCGCCTGCCTCCACGACCCCTAGCACCTTTGATCAAGAGATGATACCCCCTGAGGCTGTCATCCCAGCTTCTCTCTCCTCCCCAAGGCCCTCTCCTACCTTAGAATACTGTTAGCCTCATCTCAAGGGACACCTGACACACAGAGTCTGGTACTGTGACCATCTGGATGTGTTCTTTAACTTTTTTCTACCATGTGGCTAGGAGACAAACTCTCTAACTCTTCTTGGTCCTCGAAAAAGTGGCCCAGGGTCCTGCATGTGTGTGCAGTGTGTGCAGTGGCCATTGCTGTCCAACGGGAGTGTGGAAGGGATATTGGAGAAAAAGTTCTACTTCCCTGCCAAGGATGGAGTCCACTCCACAACTGGGTGAAGCCTCCCTGAGAATTTGCCAAACCCCATGCTGTCCCTCTTATCTCTGACCTCAAAGCCCCTGACCCTACCTGCTTCCACCACCCACCTACCTCTCCCCAGCCTGTACCTTCTCAAATGTTTTGTAGTGTTCCTTGACCATCTTCTGCATGAAGATGTAGAACTTCTTATTCAGGTCCTTGAAGGCATCCAGGGCACGGTTGGGCAGGTAGCGGAGGATGGGGATGAAGTCAGCTGGGTTTCCTGAGGCCACCATCTCCCCGAACTCATTATTCAGGTTGACTAAGCTAAGCAGTTCTTGGTCATCATGGTCATAGCGCCGGCCAAAGCATATAGCACAGATGACATTGGCCACTGACACGACCACATACCTATAGGGGTCAAAGTGCCCAGCCCCTGCCATCAGCTCCTGGAACTTGCTGACTAGGGCTTCAGCCTCCTTGCTCACATGCTCCTCCAGGTAGCAGGAGGACGAGGAAGCCGGGTTGGAAGCGGTAGAGAAGGCGCTGAGGGCATTCTGGACCAGGTGCCGGCGGGCAGCCCACACCGGTCCGGAGTCTGGGCTGAAGGTCAGGCTCTGGCCATTAGTGACGAAGGTGAAGCTGTAGAAGTCAGGCCGGCCCTTGAAGTCGTCACCCTGCCGCACCAGGGCCTGCCGGATGGTGTCCAGGCCGCTCAGCACCAGCACGGGCGTGGAGCCAATGCGGATCTGCAGCACGTCCCCGTACCGCTGGCTCATCTTGGCCAGCGCCACGTGCGGGCTCTTCCCCAGGGTCAGCACGTGCCCGATCAGGGGCCAGCCCCACGGCCCTGGTGGGCTCTTCAGGCCTTTGGGGACCTGAGGCCTCGAGACCCTGACCACCCAGAATACCAGGCAGAAGACGGCAGACGCCAGGAGAAGCTCCATGGTCAAGATGGAGGGTGGGAGTCCAAGCTCAGAAAGCATGATCAGCGCAGGGCTCTTGGAGGTGGCTGCTGAGAGATGGGGCAGGAAGAGAAACCAAGCCATCAGACAGAGGTATGGAGGAGCCAACAACCTAGTGTCATCACGCTGGTCAGCAAAAGGGGAAACTTTTCTACCCCGAACTGCTGCCTAGACACGAAGAGGAAGAGGAGGTGGGAAGAAGTTGTTTGTTAAGCTGCCGCTGTGTGCCAAGAATTTCGCAGCCATTTTTCCTTCAGTCCTGGCCACAAATCTATGAGGGAGACGCAGCGAGGCTCAGGGTGAGTAACTTGCCCAGGGTCACACAGCCAGGTAGTGTTGGGTACAGACCCCCAACCGAAGTTGCCTAATTCTAGGACACCTTCTCTTACCTGTACCAATCTGACATGGCATCTTCCAAACCAGTCCGTGATTTCCATATAGCACCACTACTATTACTTCACATGTCCCTAAAATCAACCTTAAATCCACCCACATAGCATCATCCTAAACAATATCCGTGTGAAAATACAGCTTTGAGTTGTTTCCCTAACACATGATAATAAACACATAATCAACGTTTATCACCCAGATCTCTTTGAGTCCTACCCACCACACCTGGGAAAACCATACTATCAGAGGAGCTAGGGATTATTCGCTCCTTTGGCCTCATTTCACATCTGGGGAAACTGACCTCCAGAAAGGGGTACTCACTGATTGGCCCAAATTCACCCAGCAATCAGTGACAGAGCCAGGACTCAGGCCTCTTAGGGACAGACAGCTCCTGGGAAGTTTCCATCTGCTGTCACAGGTACCTCCGCTTGAAGGGTGGTCAGGTCACTGAAGGAATTTTTCCAAAACGCTCAGTTCTCTACCGCTCAATCCCAGGATCTGGGAAATCCTACCAGACCCCAGGACAGGGTGAGGAGGGGACAGGGGACAGGAAAGCCACTGCCCAAGCCACATTGCTCTCAGCCCCATCTCTCTGAGTTCAACTGGCCCACAGTTTAAAGCAGCTGGAGACCAGAGAGATTGAGCTCCCAGCCACAGAGTTCCAGGCCAGAGTTTTCGTTGGGCTCAATTCTCAATGAAAGAACAGTCTGGGCCTTCCCCTTTTTCGGGTCACCTGAGAGCCAAGGATAAATGGAGGGTTCCCACTAGGCTGTAAAAACGCTCCAGACTGGAACACTGGAAATCAGGAAGGGAGCTGAACTTAACAGAAGCCGAAACGATGCTTTCTCTCTAGGCTTGGTCTAGCAGGGCTGTACAAATGCATAGGCCACTCTCTCCAAGGCATCAGGCTCTGCCTGGGGCATATGCCTGGTGCTGGGACTGGAGGTCAGGAGACCCAGTGTTCCAGCCCAAGTGGCCTTAGACTGGTCATTTTACCTTTGTGGGCTTCAATTATAACACACGAGAGAGACGGGGGGACAAAATCTCCCAATTTAGAGCGACCAATGGGATCCTAGGGAAGCAGAGACCCAGATCTGCTCTGGGGAACCACAGTCTCGCCCACAGGAGAACCATACGAGGCAGCGAGCTGCGTGGTTCCTACCCAAGCATTACAGCCTCATAGTGTAGGGAGGCGTCCTGGAGAGCCGAATCCCAAAACACACTAGACCCCTAATTCACTGCCAGCCCTTGGTGTGCCATTGTCCCCTTCTTCACAACAGGTGCCAGGACCTCTAGCCTTTGTGAGATGGGAGGAGGCCAAGGGAGATGTGACTGGTGAGTTTTCAGGGACTAGTGTTTCCAGCTCCCTGCAGTTGGCAGTCTGTCACACTGATTGCCTCCCAGCAGAGGACAGAGAAGACAGTCAATAGGATAGGAAAGGCCCCTGGGCAGTGCCTGGGACCCCTACTCAGATTAGCCTCTTGTCTGGGTCAGGACATTGCAGCTCTGCCAAGCCATCCCTTGGGAGGGTAGAGCCTGCCGGGGTAGCTTTTAGATATGGTGGGGAACGGTTGGTAAGAACCTAGCCCACTCCCTCCATCCACCCTGCCCCACCCTGCGAGAAGCCCCTGTCATCGCATAGCCTGAGGGAGGGGCTGCACAGGCTTCCAGCCTCCCTCAGCTATGTCCTTACTCCAGCCTCCCAGGTAACCCTGATGGGGGAGCCCTGGGGTGGTCTGGGACTAAGTGAGGGATAGAGCCAGAGTCTGGGTCCCAAAGTCCTGAATGGGAGGCCACCTACAACTAGAGGTCTAGTACTAGCTGTTGGACGATGGGCAAGTCCTGCTCTTCCCCTGGACTTAGTTTCCCCACTAGAGGGCTAGATTGACTGGTCACTAAGGACATTCTTACCTAGCCTCCTTTTACAGACGTGCTAGACCAGTGGCTACCTAGGAAGACCTGGAGGCACCAAAATTTTCTTTTTATTGGAAGGGAAGAGGCAAGCCAGAAGGCCCCCAGCACTCACCTGTGGCTGTGAGGAGATGCTGAGCTGAGCTGGGAAGACTGGACTGTGGAGCCAGGGACCCCCCAAGGAGGATCAGAGAAGGCTCCAAGGAACCCTCACCTTCAGGGTGAGGGCCGAGGCACTGCCACCTTTATAGGCAGGCTCCTGCATGTGGCCACGCCTCCTTCCCTGGAGGATGGTGATGGGACAGAGGGAGGGGCAGCCTGAGGAGGGCTGATTGCTCCAGGATATGAGGGGGACTGGAGGGGTGGGGGACAAGAACTCATCCAGGTGCCAGCACGTAAAGAGGTGAGGGCTGGGGACACCTGGGACCCCTAGTTCCAAGGCACCCCAAAGGCAGCACAGAACCCAGCCAAGGTGGAGGTTTGAGGGGGAAGTCCCAGGACAGTCCGAAGAGAAGGGCTATCCATCCTGGGGCATGGGGACTCCTCTTCATCATTTTTGCACCCCCTGGAACATCAGGCGTGCAAATGCGTCCCCCTCACTGCTATCCAACCGGGGCCAGCCAGGCAGGGGCGGGGCTGCCGGCTGTGACTTTCCCCCAGGTCTGAGTCCCCGCTCTGCTCGCGTGAGAAGGGCGGCGACCCCGGCCCTGAGGTCACCGGGGCCGGAAGGCCAGAGGCGCCACTGGGCTGGCCCTGCTCCCCCAAAGCCCGGACGACTAGCACAGGCACGCGCTTCTCGCTTGAGGGACGGGAATGGATGCCGGACGTGCAGTCTCGTCGAGCGCTCGCTGGCGCCTCTGCGCGGCCTCTAGGGTCACCTTAGACGCGCTGCAACCCCGGATTGCTCCAGCGGGGACCCACCGGCCCTTGAGGGTCCCTCTTGGCTCCGAGGATTGCAAGCGCTTGGGTTGGAGGGCAGAGAAATCGGGAGGCTGGGGGCCGCGCGGCCAGCAGTGGGTGGCCGAGGGAAGTGTTGCAGGGAGACCCCGGGGACCGCGGAGGGGCGCCTGGCACGGAGGCTCCCCGGGCTAGCGTACGTGCCTCTGCCACATCCCTCCAGGGGCAGAGGTCAGGCGGCCCATCCCCGCCCCACCTGGCCCGGGGCGCGGTGCCCAGGAGTTGCGTGAGAAGGGCCCGGAGGCCCGGCGCAGCCACCCAGCCGCCCAACTCCCCAGCCCGGCGCGGGTCTCGGCACAGTCACGCGAGGGGGGGAGGGGGGCCTAGGGGTGGGGCTCTTAAAGGGCCAGTCTCTCACGAGGTGGGAGTGGAGGGAGAAGAGCCCCGAAACGTCGCGGGTGGGCAATTGGGTGGAGTGTTTGCGGTGCAAAGGGTCAAGGTTTGCGTGCGGAGCTCGGCTTCTGCCTGCAGAAGTTTCTCAGGAGTAGGCGCCTGTGCGCATCCGCATTTTGGGAGAACGCCTGTGGCAGGACACGGCAGCCCAGCGGCGCCCAGCACGCCTGGCTGGCTGCCTGCGACGCTGCTCCCGCCCCTGCCGAGCCCTCCCGATGCAGAATGTCCAGGGAGAAAAGTCGTATTTGAGTGTCACTCTAGCTCAACCTGTCCCCAACTAACATCACCACTCGCCGTCCCCGTCGTGCTCCCCAACCCAGCAAATAGCACCGCCCCCATCCATCCGCTGGTACCAGCCAGAAAACAACCTCCTGCCGCCCCTCACCTCCCACTCCAGTCAGATGCCACCTCGTACATTGCACAAATATTTGCAAGTATTTACCAAGCGCCTACTATGTGCTGGGCGCTGTTCTGAGGCGCTGGGGATTGACAAAAAGGGAAACAAAACCGAAAACGCTCCTGCTTTCCTGGAGCTTACGTTCTGGCTGAAGGAGACAGGTAATAGGCCCTCAAATGCAGAGTGTCAGGGTAAAAAATGCCGTAGAAAAAATAAAACACAAAAGCGGTAGGAATGATGTGAGGGCAGATTGTAATTCAAAATAGGGTGGTGGGAAAGGCCTCCAGGAGATGACACAGAGCAGAGGCAGAGAGTGTGGCCTCAAGAATGGAGGCGCACAGGTAGCTGGATGGAGCCCGCGCCTGGCAGAGGGAACAAGGCCAAAGGCCCTGCAAGTGGTTGGCGAGGAAGGGAGCAGTACCAGAGGGGCTGGAAGTGTGTGGGGGGCATGTGACTGGGGAGTTCTCCTGGCCTTGAGTGAGGGATGGAATGCCATGGGGGACATCCCTGCCCCATGTGCAGAAGCGCCCCACTGAGAAACGTGGGACTTTCCCCACGCGACATAGAGGCATTGCTGGGGTCTGAGCGGGGCCAGATCGCTCTGGCTGCTGTGCTGAGAATAGACTGAAGGGGCAAAGGCTCATTTCCCCACTTTGACATCTGTCCAGCTGCACTGCCGCACCCCGTGCAGGCCCCCAGCATTGCTTCCCAGCCTCCAAACCGGTCCCATTTGTCTCTTGCTCCTTCCAATTCTTTCTCCTGTCACACCTCAGTGGTCTTTTCAAAAATGCAAAGTCTCATTAACCTTAACCCCTTTGGTAGCTCCTGGCACTCCGAAGATAGAAACCAGAATCTTTAATAGGACTCACTAGGCCTGCCTGCCTCTACTTCTAACATTCCCTACTTCGAGTCTTAGACAAAACGTTGCATCCTCTGGGCTGCCTTCCCGACCCTCTCCACAGCGGGTTAGATTTCTCCTGGTCTCCGCTTCCAGCACTTCTCCATGGCAACTCTCTGCACATTTGATCCTCGCCATGACCCTGACCCAATCGGCCGTTTCTTCCTCTATGCTCTAACATGGAAGACCAAGCTGCGGGACATTGACCTGATAAGCCGAGCCCTGGCAAGATGTGGATAACTGGTAACGGAGTTAGACACAGCTGTGCTATAGATGGGGCGAATGGGAAGAGTGATGTTGAACCCAAAGTGCTGGTGCCATGGTGGTAGAATTTAGGCAACAGAACAGGCAGGGGACAGGGCGGTATTACTGGGCTCTCTCAGCATCCTTCCAATCATTCCACCTTCAACATCTTTAGCTCAGCCTAAGGAGCTTCGTGGTACCCAAGAGAGGTCTGTCCTTTAATCCTAGTTGGAGCTAGAGCCACCAAGAATAAAACAAGAGGGTGTGGAAGCCATGGTGAGGAAGTGGGAAGCAAAGCACTCCTAGATCCCCCATCCTGCTCTGTAGCCGAACCTCTCCTCCAATGCCCCGGCTCTGGACAATCATGGTAGCCTGGTTACAGGGCTGGGAGACCTGAGCAGGGACCCAGGAAGCCCTTTCTCTTGGCTGAAGGTGCACTGTTTTGCTCATGTTCTCTAAGGGGCTCTTGACCTCAAAGAAATTCATGAACTAATAAAGCCAATTCCTCTCCCACTTCTTTGCTGGACAGACTAATGCCAGAAAGAAAAAGCCCAAGTACACATGGCAAATCAAAGCAGAGCCTAGAACTCTTTTGCTTCCAGGCCAGGGCTCTTTCCACTATGATTTACTGTCCCAGACTATTTTCAAAGTCCCAGGAGGCCAAAGGTAGAAAAGCTCAACCCCTGGCCAGGGCCTCCATCTCCCCAGACCCCTGGCCTAGTGCACTGGGGTTACAGGAGATGTTGCACTTCTCATTGCCAAGCCCCGTCTCTGCTAACAGCCCACAGTGACGGGAAGGGGCCCACACAGAGCACTGGGCAGAGAAAGAGAAAGACAGGTAGGAGGTTACAGGACCTTGGCCTGGAGCGAACACTCAATCCTGGGTCAAAGTTTGCATGCCTTTGCGTGAGAAGCTCTTTGGCTAGGATTCCCTAGTGACTGATACCAAGAACAGAGGCGGGGGGCTGGGGAGGGGAGAGGACTCTGAGCTGGAGGCATGGAGACAGCTAAGGGTCTTGACCCCACAGTCATCCAGCCTGGAGCCGCCAGTCAGCACAGCTGAGGGCTGTGTGACAGGGGACGGGGAGATAAGCGAGACCCATAGCAAGCCCCTGCCCCATGGGGATGGGAGCCCCATGCCAAACAGGACCTGTGCTGAGTCTGGAGACGCTACGGGAGCAGTGAGGAGGCTGGGGGCGGAGGCTGGTTAAAGGGACTCTCCAGAGAGTGATGAACTAGAGAAGAGTCATTGAGTCTGATGAGTATAGAAAGGGCATTCCTGGCATGGGGAGGGGGCACAACATGAACAAAAGATGACAGTGGGAGGCCAGGGTGACACAGTCTGGGACGAGTGCAGTGTGGGTGGATATGGAGAACTGGGACTTGTCTCCCACTGTGTCCTCACCCCACCCAGCCACCCCCTACCCCACAGGAGATCTGAGCCCTGAGCACGCTTCCCTCCTCTCCTGCGTGTGCCCGGAGAGCCAGGCAGACCTAATTTGCAGGACCTAGGGCTCAGATGGGGTAGCCCTTGGCTTCCTGGCTCTTGACTGCCATTGTTAGGGTGACAGTACTTTCCCAGGACAGTCTTTGTCTACGCCTGTTGTCCTGGAATAATTATTGAAAGTGCCCTCTCTCACTTTCAAAAGATCCTAGTTTGCCAGCACTCTGAGAGGTTGAGGTGGGAGGACTGCTTGAGATCAAGAGTTCAAGACCAGCCTGAGCAAAAGCGAGACTCCGTCTCTACTAAAAATAGAAAAAATTAGTGGGGCATGGCGGCGCAAGCCTATAGTCCCAGCTACTCAGGAGGCTGAGGCAGTAGGATTGCTTGAGCCCAGGAGTTTGAGGTTGCTGTGAGCTAGGCTGACACCATGGCACTCTAGCCCAAGTGACAGAGGGAGAGTCTATCTCAAAAAAAAGAAAAAAAAAATCCTAGTTTGAATAATAAGTTATACGGTCACCCCAGTGAGTGATAGTGGACATCTAAGGGTTTTGTAGGCCCAGCATCTATTCCCTCTTCTTTTGGCAATACTACATCTGTTGTTCTTAGAGGACCACCCCTTCTCTCAGCCACTGGGTTTGGTGGAGCTGACCCTGTCTCAGGCTGCCCAGTGTGAACCCCATGGGGCTTCTGATGAAAGCACTGGAAAAGAGAGATCCTCCTGCCAGGGGTGGCTATGCTGGTTAGAAAATAAGTCTGGAGCTGCCAGTAGACGTTTTTTAAGAAAATCTTTTTTTTTTTTTGAGACAGAGTCTCACTCTCTTGCCTGGGCTAGAGTGCAGTGGCGTCGTCAGCCTAGCTCACAGCAACTTCCAACTCCTGGGCTCAAGCGA